CAAAAAAAGAGTCACTTCCTCCACATTCAAAACGAATTAATTACACGTTGCGAAACCAAACCAAATGAGCTCCAACTGCATATTAAAGAGCACATTCTAATCTATCAAAAAGTTACATGAACAGCCTTCTACACCGACGACATCAGAAGATTTTCCCACGGAAACATGGTTCACGGTACGAGCTCAACGAGGTCGTCGAGGTACCATAGACCATTACGACGTCCCTGAAACGCTGGTCAAAAGCGGTCTTGCAGTCACAGCTAGTGTCTCTGAAAGCTATTCACCAGTTAATCCATTGAAGAAATTATGTAGCAGCTTCAGGCCGGAGCGATTACGGTAAGCCTCGTTGAGCTCGACGGTGACGGCAGATGACGTCATATTCTGAAGACGGTGGGGCAGTGAAGGAGGGCCTGCTTCTGCTTATGGGGGACACCTAAGGAATATTCTGCCGTAAAACATTCATCAACAACGGCATCCTGTGCGACGAAAAATTTGATGATGTGCGCCATGGGCGAAGTGCTCTTTTTTTGGCCCACCTGCCCAATTGTCTTCGCATCTGTACAGATCGCGTCTTTGGCTCTTCAAGCGATTTGATGCTCTATGTTCGCTATTCCGAATGAGCGGTTCTATAGAACTCGTACGGCCGAACATTTAGCACGTATGAGGCTTGACCTTCATATTTGCTTCTCTAAAGCTGATATTTACAAGCACTTGCAGAAAGCAATCATTTCCGTCTGAGGGGACTAATATATTGTCATTGTACGGTTCGTAGACATTGCAAGGACCGGGAAAAATGCGTAAAGGTTGACGAGGAGGTAAAGATCAAAGGCCCTTAGTGGGTAGGGCATGCATAGAAGTGGGCGGAGCTAAAATCCAAGCGGCCGAAATGGTTCAAAGATAGCTCGGAGATCGAGAAGAGAGCGAGTCTATTCTGAAAGGGCAAGTCAAATATTCGTGGTGGATCGAGTAAATTTCGAGATTTTCGACCGCACCCACATTACCCGGAACTGGGTTTCGCGCGCAAAGAGCTAGAGGTAGAAATTAAGTCAAATATCATAATCACTACCAATATTTTTTATGAGAGTCTCACTTCTTTACCAGAAATTGATTTGATTGCAAGATTTCATGTGATATTTCCGCGTCAGGGCGATGGTGAATACGAAGACGTGAACTTGGTCGAAGCTCGAGCTCCTACGATGAAAACCACCGCAACCACCACAACAACCGCGACCGCCGCGAATAAATCGGTGCTGAAAACAGTCGTATCAGAACTGCCACCTGAGGAGAATATTGTAGATGCCTTGGGTGAGGGAGAAAAATTGGTAGTTGATGCTGCCTCCAAGGATGCGATGAGGTAACAATTTCTACTTTTCGTTGCTCACATATAGCTTTTACATAAAAAATTTCATATTCCTCAAACAGCAGTGCGCTGTCACTTTGATATTGACGTTTTCAGTGTGAATCTCAAAGTGGAGCCCCCAAAGGCAACATTCAAATCAACTGGCGGTTTGTCCAACCACACTCTGACGAATAAGAGCAAAGCGAGATTGGTATTCAAGATCAAATGCTCAAATAATAACGAATACGGCATACATCCAGTATATGGATTCATTGAGCCGATGGCATCAACCATAATTATGATAACTCGTTTGCCAGGGAATCCAAAGGAGGACAAGGCAGTCATTCAATGGGTAGAAGCTACAGCTGATGCGAAGGATCCTAAGGAGGCGTTCAAAAATGCCTCACCTTGGTCGACGCAGTCAATTAAGGTCGCCTTGGTAGTAGTGGGCGACACGCCGGCTGCTCCGAAAGAAAAATCCGCTATTCTACCGGTGTCGTAGCAGCGAGTTCGTCACAGGCGCAAAGGCTGCTAAAAAGGAAAAATCTACTATGCAACCAGTAGCCGTTCCTGCAATGCCGAGTGCTCCTGCCAAAATTCCAATAACTTCTCCCAGACAACCTGCTGTTCCAGCTGCTCCTGTAAAAGTACCAGTTCCCGCAGCAGCAGCAGCCCAGTACCAGCAGCAGCACCAGTACCGGCAGTAGCCGCAATCAAACCTATTGGCTCCACACCACCTTTCCCCATTGTACCTGCCATTCCACCAAAACCACCTGTGCAGATCAAACCAGCTCCTGCTGCCATCAAAAGCCCAGTTCCAATGCCAGGGGCTCCAGCTCTGCAGCCTCCAGCACCACCAATTGCACCAATCAAACCAATAGGCTTTCAGAAACCTGTCTCCCCTGCACCTACTACTCCTTTCAAACCTGCGACAGTACCAGCTCAGAAACCTCTCCCCACTGGACCTACTACTCCTCCAAAACCTGGTGTGACAATACCAGCTCCTGCCTTTCCCAAAGCTCCTGTATCAAGACCAACGTTTGGTCCAGCTGCGCCTTCCACTCCTATGTCATCAAAACGCCCTTCTGGTGCTATAATACCATTGCAGCCGCCTGCCATTTCCCGCTTTCCAGTGCCTGGAGGGCCTCCGCCCCCTCCAGCAAAGGGCACAAGCGACCTTCCTGTTGTAAGCGTTTATGCCGTCGGCGGTGTTGGCGGTGGTGGCCCAAAGTCCATGGTCATGCCAGGAGTGATGGCCGCGTCTCCTACGTCAAAACCACCCAAATGATGAGACGACTTATGCTGCTTTTTAAGATCCATTTAAGAATATAATTTTGACAAAATCTATCGTCTGGAATGTGTAAATATTAATGAAGTAGAAAGAGATCAGCATTATTGTGAGACTCGTTCACCGCTTGCTAACAAGAATGTGTTAAGCATTTTGCATAGGCTGAGCTTCCCATGGTTATTATTGTATCCAATCAATGTTTAAATTGAATTGTACACTATTTGAAAGAATGGCAACAATAAAAAATTAATATCGGCAACATGTTGTACAGCTGGAAATGCGGAAGCAATCACATTGGATCTCTGTGAATGAATTGTGGACTGAACCGTATTGTGAGTAATATAAATGAAAGGAATCCGTTCAGAACGTTTAGGTAAAGGGCTTACTCATATTCGTAATATGCTGTGTTGAGGGCATCGATGACCTATCCTGGTGGGGTAGAGAGGACGGGGTTGCTTAATGGTACGCCAGGCGAAAAAAGCAGAGAAGTCGCTGAGAATAGCCCCTTGATTGCCCGGTGATTTTCGACAGTTAATGAGCGGCGACAAAGAAAGAACTTCGGATAACGCCGATACCCGCCATGATGCCAACATGCATAGTGTTCTGATTGACAACAGGGTGGATATTGGTCGAGGAAATCCTCGACAAT